CCAACTTGGGCATTCCGTATTGCACTTTATATAGAAATAGTCTTGGTACGAAATGTATTAGTCGATTATTATGTTCCATATATTTTGATTCTGTGCTCACGGGATCCAAAAAGTTGGGAATTTTTATTCCTAGCTAGTTGGTAGACATCTGTTTGTTGCCAGTACAGCACTTTGTCCATGGTCCTCGCACACCTTACAACTGCATTCTTTGTATCCCTGTGTCAGTGCAGTGTAGTCCACCTCAGATACACTTTGACAAGACAGAGTCAACTACCTATACTAATACACTTTGGTAATAATAAGTAAAAAGTCAACAGTTTATGCCAATAGACTTTAATTACAATCGGTATAAAGTCAACAACTTAATCAAATACACTTTGATGAGGTGAAAAGACAGCAATGTATGCTAATAATACACTTTGATGTGGTAAAAAGTCAACAATTTATGCCAATAGACTTTAATTATAAAAGGTAAAAAGTCTAAAACTTAATGTAATACACTTTAATGGAGGTAAAACGTCAACAATTTATGCTAATAATACACAATGATGTGGTAAAACGTCAACAGTTTATGTTAAAACTCTTTGATGGGGTATAAAAAAAAAAATCCACAATTCATAAAATACATTTTGATGAGGTAAAATATCAACAACTTACTCAGATTCTGACTTTCATGAGGAGAAAAAAAAAGATCAACAACTTTAGCCAATATACTTTGATCAGGTGACAAGTCAGCACCTTATTATGATCAAGAGCCTCTGTTCCAGTACTCTTTCTCTTTGCCACTACTTGAGGATGAAGTTTGAGACAGCTGGCATATCCACCTTCTCCTATATACCTGTAACCCATTTCACCTTTCTTCAGGTATATGTGGGTTTTTTTTATTAATCTTTTAAGTTCATGACACTGATTCGTAATGCTTTGTACACAATGTGTTGACTCACACCACTTTAGTTTTCGAAGAGACTTTGCTAATGTTATACCCCCCCTCAACATAAACGAATAACCAGTCAGAAGTAGGTCAGCTAAGATCCTAAGAACATTTTACTCTTTCAGAGCTATATTATTCCTAGCACTGAATATCCTTCACAAAGTCCACATCCCAAACTTTTGAAAAGGGCTCGTTCTAGTTCCTTGCACATGACATTTTCTTTTTGTATATTTAGAGTTTTGAGTGTAGCTTTTAAATCTCACTGTACTGTAGGCACCCTTAGCTCTCTTCTCTCATGTTGCCTAACAGGCTGCTGTAGGAAGAGGGAGAGAAATGTAAGAGTTACAGTTCATGATTATCTTGCTATTCCTTTGGACTTTTCAGTCTGTTGCAGACATTTAGCTCATTATTTGGAATAAGTGCTCAACTATGAAGTACATCATCTTGTTATGCTGAGACACATTTTATGTAAGTAGATTAGGTTTCGGGTAGGTAGAATGTCAGATAGTTACATTTTCTTTTATGTATCTATATTATAGTAGTAAATTACTATAGCACATAGTTAAGCCTGCAGCTGGCAGTAGCAGATCTGGCTGTAAATTTGACTGTGGTGCAGACATTCACAAGTTGATTCTGATTTTGGTCTGAATTAATTTTTGCTCTTCCAAGATGAATTCATCTTACCCAGATGTCCTTAAAACCCTGTGAGCTCTGGTCTCCTAAACCTACAGGGCCAATACGCTGACGGAACACTTGCTCATCAATACCTCGTGTCGCTCATCATAGCAATGGTGGAGACTTTGCTACGAATAAATCCAGAAATCGGGATAAATCTGATAAACCAGATTTCTTAAGAATGTCTGGATTTTGACCACCTTAGGGCGCTCATCTGAAAACAGTCTTGATACAAGATATATGAGACAACAATATGATCTGCAAATTTTGAGTCCATGTCATCCCAAGCTGTGGTCCCAGTGCATGCTTGCGTTTCCAAAATCTCAAGATTTTTTGTATGTAGCCCGTTGGCATGTCAGGTTGGGGCATGAAGAGTTTAAGGTGTTGTTTATTCTGCCTTGTGGAGAGTTCAGCTTCAATAAAACCGAAACAAGCATATCAGAAGACAGTACAATGAAAAGTTTACAGTCAGCATTTTTGTCTCTTGGGTTACCATATGGAATTGATTTGAAACTGAAGAGTTCAGAAAAATGAAGGGTCCAAGTCACATTTTGCTTTTTTTTTAAATCTTAGAATGACGACGCTCGTCAGGGGAGACCACACAACGTGCACATTGAGTGAAATGACTGGAAGCCTTTAAAACAGAGTTATGGCCTTTACTAATTGCCCAAACTCGGTAATATTGTTATATCATGTTTAAGTACAGCTAGATTTATTCAGGGTTTTTTTTTTGGGGGGGGGGGGTTTCGGGAGGGATGGGGGTAATTAAATTATGACAGGTGCCTGGACCCTTCATTTTCTGGACCCCTTTAATTATAACGATTCTCGGATACATACATAATAAATAATATTATATTATATTTTCGAGGACAGTGTGGATGGTGCAGTTTGTCAAAGAGGAAGGCGATCCCTCGAGGAAACTTCGTACGTTTCCTGTACTTTTTTTTAACTCGAAATAAATTCTATAACCACAAACCTGGTGTCGTGTTTTGATGGTTCCTCAAAATATGCTGTGCTGTTTGTGGACTGACGAGCTTTTGTTTTTGTTTTTTTTTGTAGTTGTTTGTTTGTTTTTAGGGGGGTGTTTTGTTTGTTTTTTGTTGGGTTTTATTTTATTTATCTTTATTTTTTTT